ATTATTGTTATTACTAGTATAGTTGACTGCACGAAATTGCCCGGGCTGAACGCCCGCTTATCTGTCTCTTGCGAGCTAACATTGGCATTCGCGCGCATAAGTCACCGTAGCGCCCGTACTCGTCAGCCGCGTTGCAGGCATGCTCGCGTGCGTTCAACCTACAGCGATCCGGGCAATTCGTGCAGTCGATTACTATCACTGTTAGCATTGATACTTGTACTTATCATTATATTTTTATCATTTTAATTATATCCTTATTATTCCATCATTGATATTTTTTATTATCGGTATTAAAATTATTTTTAGTCTATTAACTATGTAAACCAGTATAACAACAAGGAACATCAGAACGAACCACAAATAAAATTCGAAACAACGCAAATCAAGTAAAATTATAAGATAAAAATGAATAATGCAGAATCTATAGGTTTTTTCTTTCAAATGTCTAGTGATTTGCTAATGATTTGCGGCTGAGCTGCGCTAAGTTTGCGAATTTTCAAGTATGTCGTATCTAATAATGACTCGTCGTTTTTATATGAACTTTGGTGTTTATTGCATGTGACTTGCTCGTCACATGTTAATAATTTGCGTTCATCTAGCTTCTAATTATCTTCCAACCTACAATTTGCCTCTCTCCGGCTGAAAAAGCTCAAAGAGTAAAAGTCTCCTACTGCCTGTCTGCCAAAGCTACCTTCCGCTACTAAACATTCCCCGCCCCCCTCTGCTATATAATTTTCCCTTGTTTTCTATAATTCGAACTTGGAAACCAATCTGGAAAAGTTTCTTTTGCATCACGGGAGCTTGACGAAAGCGCAAGAAAATTCGTGCGAAGTGTATGCAAATAGTTTCTATGTAACTTGCTAACTAAGAACATGTGGTTGTGAAGTTTCAAAGAAATGCTTGCTCAATCATGTGCGAGAAACCTTGTGAGTGTTTTTCGTGCAATTTTGCGTCGAGCACATGTGCCGTGGGCGCTTTTGGCTGTGACAATCACATCATCATAGCGGAGTAAGGCGATATTCAGTTTCGCTGATTCAGACGTTGGAAAGAATTTTTGATTTTGGCTGAAAAAAAAATGCCTATGATAATTTAGCTAAAAATTTCTCAAAGCTAGTAGTAAAAAAATTGTTTAAGAATTGAATGAAACCAATTCCAAGCGAAAACATCAAAAACTATAGAAAATTCATCAATTTCTTCAATTTCAAAATGTATTTGACAACTTAAGTACAAAGAGTATCGAAGGGCCTTCTTTCTTCATCCAAATTCTTATAAACTTCAGTCGCGTACAAATAAACTTTTCAAAATTTGAACAAGATCAAATCTAAGCTAAAACTCTCGCGGAAGATTACAAAGAACCTATCATTCAGTATACAAAATGCTCAATGAAGAGACTTACAATTTTCATTTAGTTATTTTACTCTTATTCAATGCATGCAATTTTTCTTTTTATTCAGTCAATTTATGTTTCTTTTTTTTTCACCAAAGAACCAAGAACATTCCTCTCATCATTCGAATTTCCACAATATCCAATTAATCATCTTGCCATAATTTTTTGAGGCATCTATTTCATTTCTCTAATCAATCGTTCTCTCAAAATCCATGCAACTTCATCTATTTTTACATTGTTTACACCTCGAATCATATATTGTTGACTGGCCACTAGTATCTTTCGACATCAATTAGTAAGCCATTCCATCACAGCGAAGAGGTTTCCGAGAGAGTAAACACTGCCGACATTTTTTCGTATTCACCCCCATCCCCCCCGCCTCTCCCCCCCCCCCCCCACCCCCCCCCTCCCGTGGCCTTTATATCTTGTAAGCGCTCTGCTGCCATAAATTACATCTGAATTATTGCAAATCCATTATTTCATGGCTCGTTACGATTTACGATTTTGTCTGCGAGAAAGCTCCGCCCATAAGTGACGTCATTGGTCATTCGCGGGGCGAAGACGTGTGCATCAAGACTCGTATCTTGCATTCAAAGCATCTTAAAAAGCGCAAATTTTTGTAATTTTTTGCTATTTTTCGATTTTTCTTTCACTATCGAAGTTTTACATTCTCGAACCTTTCTAACGCTTGAAGTTATGTTCATATGCACTTTCCTCACCTTTTTTGCTAATGCAAGGAATGATTTGCTTACCCGACGTCTAGCACCGGGAAAAGGTCGTAGTTTCGCGTCATCCTTAAAGTTTCGAGTTTCTTGCGTCTCAGGTGGCAATTTTTAAGTATGTAATCATGTCGGAAATCTCGCATCGTGCACGTTTTTATATCACCGAGCAAATTCTCTGAGTCATAAGCAGGTTACATGTTTACCAGTCGTCATATACATAACAACATGTGCATAAAATCAGCCGTATTATGAGTTGTTATGTCTGCAAAAAAGTTCACTCCATCATCTGCCTCCTTATCTGCAGCAAGATGGGTTTTTGAGTCCGGCATAGATTTCTCAATTTTTTGGAAAGATTTCGATCCTAAAAGAACCATACAGTAACCCTACCAGTTCTAAGGTGTAATTATTTTTCTAATGAATTCTACAGATTTTTTAAGTAAAATTTTTTTGTGTTTACAAGTTGTACATCCCTTCGAGCTAAACGCCCAGTTTTTGGGTCCCGCGCGGAAAGTGTCTTACTTGAAGATCATTGAGAACTCTTAGAAATCCTCTTTGTTGAAGCAAGATGACAACATTAGGACACTTATTTTCGCAGAACATTACTTTTAGTCGCTAAAGAAAGCATCACGAAAATAGAAAAACATTTTTTTTTCGAAATCAAGATATTTTCAATCCTCCAACGCGATGTATTAGCAAAAACCGGAATTTATAAACATGTATCCTTGCCTCGTCTTCATTAATAGAATTTCTTAGCATTATAAAAAGTAAGGCTCCAAAAATATCTACCGTATCCTCGCCTACTGAAAAATTCTATTAACACTTCCTCTAAGGAAATCAACCTGCTCGCGTCGCGCGCGAGCTAAACAACTTTTCAGCACGAATTACATCTGATGTCCGCAAAAAACTGATGCGATGACGTTCGTGTGCTATTTATGTGTGCATTTGCGGAACATTCTAGTTAGCGAAAATTGCCTGAGCGTAAGGCGGAGAAGGAAATTATGAGAAGACGTTGCATAGACAGGCATAACGTTTACGAATAGACCTTATACTTGAACTTTTCGTAATTTTTGACTATTGATATTTTTTTAGTGCTGAAGGGAAAGGGGGGGGGGTAGAAAGCAATTCATGCCAACCTATCTTCCTTGCAAAGCTAGCTTACCATTTTAGGCTCAAGCAGCTAAGCCCTTTCTTCCATCGTATTCACGCTAACCTTGAGAAATGCTTTCTCATCAGAGTTTTTTTTTGGAAAATAAATTTTGCGGAGAATGGGGTACTTTGCTGCGGTTTATTGCAAAGTATCCATTGCATTTAGCGCTTCTCGCCATTATCCACGAAAAAACAAACAAACGAGTATTCAAACTTTTTATGTGATCGTCAATGACGATGAAGGGGGAGGGGGCAAAAATGCCTTCGCTCAAATAGCAGCTCATATGAATTATTCATGGTCGAGGTATTTGAATCTAAACTCTCGCCCAGCACCGTACTACCTACCATCGGTGAGCGGATCAAATACGGTAGTGGGCGAGAGCATTCATTCGCTGCTTTAACTAGTCTTGAGCTATCTCGATAAGATTGATGATCTTTAGGTATCATGAGCACATACACTTGAGAAAAAATTCAGTGTATTTGAAAATTTCGTGTTTATTTTTTCTTTTCTTTGAATCATAAAAATTCTGTATTTCTCTTATACCAAAAATAGGGTCTATTTAGCTAAAAAATAGTTACGCCAAACATTATAGTTTCTGGTTTGGCACAGTTTCTTTTAGCAGTTTCCTAAGATGGTTTCCACCTTAACTTATTTTTCTTTAGCCCCCCTGATTCTCTAGGCAAATCAAACCCTTTTCTTTCTGCTCTCAAACACCCGTTCTGCTTTTTCTTCTATAGGCTGGCTAGAAACAAGTCAAGCATTCACATTTGATTACGCAATAACGCAAGCAACGTCAGAAGACGTCAGTAATTGCTACTTTACGAGCATTCCTTGGCTCTCATGGGAGTTTCCAATCCTATCTCCGTGCTCGTCATCTGTTATGAAACTTTTTGAATAAAACTTAGTATTTCTGGTCACTACCCTAGATGGCTAGACACACTTAAAGCTAGTTATTTTCTGCCTAATTGCTCAATTTCAATTCATATAATTCATTCCTAAACGAGATATTCAAGTCTAGACTCTTGCCCAGTACCGTACCATGAACCAGTAAGCGTAGTTGAGTACAGTATTGGGCGAGAGGACAGATTTTGTACTCAGATTTGTGCGCTGTCACTCAATAACTCATAGCTTGTGCGATAAAGTTGATGTACAAATTTTTGAGCTATCTGTATAAAAATTGAGGCGATAGATCTAGAAGAACTTTTGGGTGCCGAGATTTCATTTCTGACAGTTTTCCTCTGCCCTCTTCCCCCCCCCCCCCCTCCAAACAACTTTGAGACTGGATGCATGTTCTAAAAGTTCAGCTAGATAATGTTTACCCCTGCAAGATTAGTGCTTACGTCATCCGATTTGGGCCACTTACCCAAACGCTTAGCGCCCCTCAAAGGCTAATTGCACCCGGAGGCAGTTTAGGAATGCAAGTTTCTCCGAAATGAATTCGAAGATCTTTGAATCCTCTAATCTTTGGTGAAAGGAGGCGGGGCGGGAGCTTAGGCAACCATGGTGAAAATATGATCGCCTGCTTTGTCCCGCATTGTTGCTCAGAATTGCAAAGTGACGTATCTAGTTTTATTTTGCAAAAATTTGATTTGCAATTTTTTTACATCCTTTTATAGAAAAAACTTTCACTTCTTCAAAAAATTCCTGCTGCATTTTCATTCTAATGTGAATCTTTCTCCAAATCATTTTATCTCGTCATGCTATTGTCCTAAAAATCAATAACTGATTTCCTTTTTTTTTTCAGACCCCCGACCACTGCCAGCTTCTATCATAACAGTCCTTATCGCTCGAATTCAACATCATCCTTGTATCTGGGACCACGATCACGAATTTTTCGGACATCGTGAGCAAATCGATTCGGCTTGGCGTGCAATTGCCGAACAAACGGACGTTCAAGGTATGTTCATTGTTTACCTTGGGTAATGCGCTGGTTAGGGTTAGTGGCCTCGGTCTTAGTAAGCATCTCATATGCAAAAAAACATTAGTAATTTTACCATATCTTAGTATTTTTGCCAGTTGGAGACTATAGTGCGTCGGTAGATCAGTTTATCGATTGACATCGGTAGAGCTCAACTATTCACTATGCAAATATCAATATATCAATTGCTAAAGGGGTTCAGGTGAAAGAAGTCACACGCGAAAAAATTTTTCTGATGTATTCATATGTAGAGTGATGATTTCGGAAAAAAGTCTTGAAGTCTCCTTTCAGCTGAATTGGATCAATCTATGTATTGATTTTTGTATTGTTTTTCAGTAAGATACTGAACGGTTGACCTTTACAGATGTCAATCGATTTATCGATCTGTCAGAACCGAAGTTTTAGTTGTAAAAAATCAACAACGAGCGGATGCATTTTGCAGAAAAAACTTACTTTTTTCACAATGCATTTTGTTTCGATGCAAATAATCGATATATCTTACCGTTCTACCGTAGATTTCAACTTCCAAAACAAAGTGTTTGTATCATTGAAAGCAAATGGCTTTTGGTCATCCGAATTGGCAATCGATATATTGATTCATATTTGCCTATTATTTTGTAAATTGACCTCTACTACTGCCCGATATATCGATCTATCGGCTGATACCACATTCTTCGACCAATCATAATTACCATTTTATAAATAAACTAGTGATTTTTTGCGCTTTCAATCTTATCCGAATCTATTGATTTTTATTTTTTGGGAAGCAACAGAAATTTAGTGAATTGTAGCCGACCGCAATAAATTTAGATTAATTAGTTCTTTTGAATCTAGTTCTTCTAGCATTTACGCGAGAACTCTAATATTGGAAAAGAACTATTTGATTGCATTCCCAGTCCAATGTTGTCATTTACCAATATGTTCCATGGAAACCGAGCCACTACACTTTTTTCTTGAAAGATTCACGTCGTGCTCGAGCATGACTTTTCCCTTTTGCCCATATCCAGTTCTGATTCCAACCGACACTTCCTCGTTCATCTCTATTGTTTACCCTTTTCTATAAATGAACGCAAAATTGCATTTTAATGCGGAACTGGTATGCACAAATTTTAATTAGTTTGATGGAGAAATTGTGCAAATGGCAGTGGTAGCCATTTGCAGTGGCAAATATCGATGCAGCATTTTGGGAGGGGGAGGAGGAGGGAGGGGGGGGGGGGTGGGGAGAAAAAAGGGAGAGACCATTTTTTGTTTGTCACTTCTATTGTTGGCTGCTCTCCAAAGAGGAGTGAATACACAAATACTATATTTCTACCGTACTTTACTTTACCAGCAGCATTTCAAGGGAGTTCGCACGCAGCCACGCTGTATCTCCGTCTGCTCCTCTCCGCCTAAACACATTTTCATTTCCTCTTACCGTCTGCTGTCTCTTGCAAACACGAACTGTTACAGCTGTACGCAACCACGTCCAGTCTCTGCGTGAGATGAACTTCCTATACGTACAACACATGCTAAAAACAGTCTCAATTGATTTTCGTTGATCTTTTCGCGCAGTAATCAGGATTGCAGTAGAACCGTAACTTTCTTTTCATATATCGTCAAATTTTTTTTGTCAAAAATTCGTAAAACTTCAAGCAGCAGCCATAAATTTTCTTTGGACCTTTGCTATTTTGCCTGACGCACCTTTAATCATAAAAGTGACGTTTTATGGACTCCATAAACAACTGTCGCATAAATTTCTTTATTCTCCATGAAACAAAAAATAGTTCTATGTATTCGTAAGCCAGTCTGGCGATGCTAAGAACTGGTAGGTTACAGTGAGCGATAAATTCAATTGTTTATTTGTTTATTTATTTATTGATACTGGACGAGAAAAATCATGGAGTTAGGAAGAATTCTCTGCTTTTGGTAGAGTAAACTTCTTCATAATTTTGATAACATTATAGATGTTTGTATAAAAAAGTAGCCAAAAATCCTTTTCTTCACTGGGTCTTATATTGATTAGTGATACCACAATACGTCACCAGCAGACTCTGTCCATTTGAACTGGCAAAGGACGTATTATAAAGATACATGGTTTGTGGCAGATGTCCACGCGCTATTTTGTCAGCGACACAGTGCTGTACTTGGACCCTCCACTTTAAAAAAATTTATAATTTAAATAATGCCTCTCGATTTCCATAATTCCATATTTGCGTGCCTTATGAAAATTGTGCAATTGCACAACAAACATCATATACGGAAACATCTGCTCACTCTATATGCACAATAAACGAAATCAGCTGCAACCCTTATGACTACTTTCATATGCAAGTTGACGGTCATTTCGAAATTTCTTCTGAGCAGTAAGCAAACTTCTTTTTTGAATAAAAATACTTTTTTGCAAATTTCGTTGACGATATTTCTCAGAGTTTTACGTCTTTCTAAGAAAAAATTCAGAACTTTTTGTTTTGGTGGAACTCATGATGAGGTATTCACATGGCTCAATAGTAAACAGCATTGAATAGTGAATCGTAAAATAGCGTGAGAAAAGCAGAGAAGCAAACAAATGAAAAATTTCCATTATGACATTCTAGCAGTTTTTCTGGCTAGAAAATCCTTCGCAATCTTTCTGACGTTTAAACTTCACTCTCAAATTTTTCCTCTGACAATTTTCAATGATAGAAATTTCTGACCATAAATTTCACCATTTGCTACCAAATTCGAAAAATAGTTTGCAATTAGGAGAGACGCAGACAGATAGTTTGCCACGAGCAGAGACGCAGACAACTTTGAAGTTTCCATTCATTCCCCCAAATAAATCACCTAAATGACTTCAAACAAGTCCAGCTATGCATTTTGTGTGGTTGATTGATTTATAATCTTGTTTAGTCTGACTCTAAGGGGAGTTCTTCAGCAATATTTGGCCACATGATGTTTGACGTTTGAATTTGTTCAGTGTTGTTGAATACTTAAGCTTGATAGATGGACTTTGTCGTTTTTGCTGGATGAACATGTGCCTCCAACGAATACAATTGCACTTCTATCTTTAGACACTAAGTTGAAATGTTTACCTTGAATTCATCCGCGTGACGTGCAAAAAAATTCTAATTGTTTTTAGGAACAAAATTCCAATTAGCTTACCCCCGGGTAACGGGTAATAGCTTACCTGAGATGGTCCATGACGTATTTGGTCGCTAAAAGTTTGTGTGATTATTTGTGTGCCAGTAAAATCTTAGGAAATCATCTGCTCCCCGCCTTACCCAATCAGTCTCAAGGGGCCGTGAACAAGTTTACGTTAGCCGGCGATTATTAGGTTTGAACATTGCTTTGTGATCTCTTATCATTCGTCAGTTCCTTTGAAAAATAGAAAAAAAAAACAACTGGACAAAAGGCGCAGACCTGTATGAGCATTTCGAAGAACTTCGACTTTTTCGTAGGTACAAAAAAATTGTTTTTTGAGATGGCATCTGAACAACACGCTTCATGTATTCAAAACAAGATGCAGAATTAGTTTCTTCATCTAGGAAACTTGGAAAATATAAGAAAATTATGTTATCTGATCCCCTCATTTGCAGGAGACATCCTCAGTAGAGGCTATTGTATAACGGTAATTTCTAGCTAATCTTCATTATTTTTCCCACTTCCAAAAAATTTTCTGCGATTTCGAACAAAGCGATCAATTTCTGAGTTTCTGAATAAACATCTCCAGCAACTAATAGAATTCAGCGGTGCATGAAAGAAATCATACTGTCAGCAACGCTCAAGTTTCTTTGAATTTTTCTATTTTTTCAAACTCAAGTCTCTGATTTGATAGAAACCTACTTGTATAATATATCATGTATTTAAAAAAAACTATGATCGGAACTAGCAATATCTTCAGCTTCTTCGATTTTAGAAGATTTTCCAGGGATTTTTGTTTCCACCGTAGTAACAAACTTTTGAAAAAGAACACTTTCTAGACTTTTCCAAAGCATAGATCACAATGTGTAAATCACCAGCAATGATTCAATAATCTGATTTATCACAATCAGGAACAAGACAGTAAAGCAATCAAGCAATTTTCTATACATGAGTAACATCGTCGCGCAATCACAGTGTCTACTATGTCGGAAATCAACTTAGTCTGCAATTTGGGATGTTTATAGGTCATTTTGCTTATTCACACCATCGGCTCCTCCTTTTTGTTTATACTTCACTGAACATTCTAAACGACTACTTTGTCGCGACACTTTCGCTGTCCGAAATGCTCACTTGGGAGATCAAAAATGTTTTTGAATGTTGAAATACTGAATGTTGAAATCGCCCATAACCATAAAGCATTTAAAGCTGAAAACGAATTTTAAGATCTTTTTGGCTGTAACATTTTTTGTGAAAGTTTTTCTCTTCCAAAGGCGGAAAGGGCGTGGCCGCGGCGGCACCTCGTGCTGAGCTTTTCAACATTTCCTAAACAAGCACATGTTTCCCACATTTTTTCTTCAACTTGTACTTCCTCTGAAGGCGTGGCTTCTTGACACAGGAACTTTGGCTTACTTCACTCATAGCTGCCGAGCTTCGGTGAGCATCATCGTTATCTGTTCAGGACCCGCTGTTACCATATCTTACCTCGTGTGCAGATTAATGTTAGCAGAAACCAGTAGTTGTTTATCCAAGTAGTTTTATAACTCGCACCACACATCAAATCCAGCGAACGCATTTGCATCGTTAGCTATATTTTACGAATTATTTCCTCGATGATGTGATGTGTGGTCCGCAATTACAGTTCCCTATGCTCATTGAGCAGTATTCTGAGCTTAAAACACTTTAAAAAATCTCTGCTTCTCTCATTCGCATTTTATTTATAAAGGCGCTTGAATCCGCTATAAATTGGTTATTTATCGAGAAGAGTGCAATTCCAGGGCCAGTCAATCATTCATGAACTTTTATTCTCACAATCCTACCGTATCCTACTGAAACTTATGAAACTAAATTTTGAATGTTTGATTTGATTTTTGTTTGCTTTTTGTCTCACATTTTATTTCAAGCTGGAATCAATTCGTAAAAATTTGAAAAATTCAAAAAATTTGTTCTGCTTTTGGTACCGTACCTCTAATCACATTGTGCCTTCAGTAAAAGATTTGTGATTTAGCATTTATTAGGCAAAAATGAAGTCTTAATTGACCACATTTTTTATAAAGTGGCTTACAAAAAATTTACCATATCCAGTAAATTGATAAAAAAATAATTTTGATAAAGTTTGTACGAGCTTCACTGTACTAATAGAAAATGAGAGATCTAGAAAATGTTTCATATGTGTCTCATCATTTCTAGCTTCATATATACTTACAAAACTTATTTATGCGACTAATTTTCAGCTTTGAATTTTTTATTTGATTCCGCGACCACTTTATCTTTGAGTTCGGCAAGCTGTTCTTGACTCAGCAACATTCTTTTTACCTTTGGAATTTTTGAGCAAATTTAATTCTGCTACTTTTTTAACTTTAACTTTCTTACTCTAATATCCAGTTATCATGTTCCAAAACGCCGAAGAAATCTTGTCTTGTCGATAAACATCTCGAATTGTTTACATTTGTCTTTTGTTTTCACGCCAAAGCATTAGTTGTGTGTGTGGCTATGTTCTTCACAGAATAGATCTCTGATATTCGCGCGTCTTAGACATCTCATGCCCCATCTCGTATTTCAGAGGACCACGTTCGTAGTCTTTGGAACACCGTCTGGAACTCTTGCTCGCTGTCTGGCGGTAATCCAATTTTCAATCAACTCAACAAGATGTCATCGACACAAAATACTACACCAAAAAGTACAACTGAACCCAAACAGTAAGTGTGCTCTAACGCGAGAATCATCTTCTAAAGGACGGGCCCAATTCTGTTCTTTGCAGGAACCCACCACGAAAGCGGGTAGTTTGTAAGAAAGTTTCCTGGTCACGATATGATTCTGTAAATATTTCTGGACATTTGCTGATGCTGCCAAGACGATTCGCTAACTTAGAAATTATCGAAGCTGGTCCTAGCCGGATTGTCTGGTAAGCTACCGTAATTCTACCGTAGTCTTCCACACGAAAATCGGCTGTTATAGCTCTGGAGCTGATCTATTGACTGAAGAAAATGTGATCATTAGAAAAACGCCATTGAAGGATCAAGAACAAACAGCACGGGTCTATCATAATCTAAAAATGGGACGACTCCTTCCACATCCTAATGTAAGTCCCAAAAAGACAGTAGAGATCTTGTTTCGCTGATAAACCTTGCCCATTTGCAGATATTATCAGTTCTCGATGCTTTTGAAGCTGGTGACAGTCTCTATACCGTAACCGACATGATGGATGGACGATTGGCTGACATCGTCGATGAGAATCTCAATCATTTTGTCATAGCAAAAATTGTCTATCAGCTGCTATCGGCTCTAGAACCACTACATTCAAATGGATTCCATCATGGGGTAAGTTTTTTTGAAAATGTGAGAAATGCAGTTCAATAAAGTTTTTTCTTTCAGAACATCACACTTAACTCTGTCTTTATCAATACGGATGCGGTGCTAAAATTGTCTTCCTATGGTGACGTAGTTCAAAATGCTAGTGAGGAAAAGTTTAGAGGTGAGTAACTGTTCTAATCACCCTAAATTTTTGTCTATAATAAAGATAATTCAACGAACGAAGTAGGGAAACCCGCGCTACGTGAGGCTGCGTTCAGACTTGCTCACGCCAGTGCGTGCCAGCGCCGTGTCAACGCCGTTCCACTGCCGTGTTAGTGGCAAGCTCCGGGCGGGGACTGTGCCGGCAAAGGTCGATTGGTCATAACGGGTGCGTGCACGTATAATCACGCCAGCGCTTTGAATCGACGTTGGAACGGGGCCGACAGGGCGCTGGAACACGGTCGGAACGGCGTTGACACGGCGCCGGAGCTACCTCTAAACGCAGCCCGAAAACCCACACATACGAACCGTTATCTGCCGTGAATCTAAGCATTTTACTTAACTCATCGATTTTCTTTCCTAAATCCAAACAAATTGAGTTTTTTTTTTATCAGTGCCAAATCTTTTCATAATCAGACGTTGATGTTTTATGAATCATATTTTTTTCAGAAGACATCACCTCAGTCGGCTCGATACTTGCACGTTTACTACTTGAAGAAGAGTCTTTCTTGAAATTATCAAAAATCAAGAGTCATAATGATCTGGAATGGCGAACGATCCTTCAGGGCAATGTCGAATCGGGTCTTGTTGGTAAGCTGTTTTTTTTTTTGATAATCGGATTTTAAATGTAGGATTTTAAATGTAGGAACCTTGCAAAAGTGATGCAGGCTTTTCAGTAAAATTCAAAATGAGAATTATTGATAATTTTTACAGATTTCCATGCTCGCAACATGCTTTATCTCCTTCTCGGCTCTCCATGCTCTCTATCCGATCTCCTTCGACACCCTTATATGCTCACATTCCGCAAAAATGCCGGTAAAGTGCCGCTTATTGAAGCCGAGCATAAGGATCTCTCAGCACTCAGTCTCAATGACGTTCACGGTAAATATTTTTCACCTAGCTCCTCTGTTCCTATTTTTCAAACAAAATTGAAATAGTCTGATTTTCTAGGATTATTGCGAGATGAGCTCAATCGATACGAGTCACCGATCTCTATCCAAGATGTGCAGTGACATGTCTTTGTAATTATTTGATTCCAAAAAATTTGTTTTTGGGAGGCACCTATCTTTACGGGTAACAAGCACGTTTAGATGTAAAATTTCTGTTCTCGTTGTTTTGCTCTGTAAGTATTCGTTTTTTCTGTTTTTGTAAATCTTTCAATGTGATGGTTTAATAAACTATGTGTTTGATTTGATTTGCAATTCGCGTTGCCGTGGAAACATTTCATAGGAGGAAATGCCATAAGTTGGACCCAAATCGTTTATGGCGTGATAAAGAGAAGTTTTTCGAGAGCTGGAGCGGAGTATAGAGTGTTTGTTTTTCACAGTAAAAGTCTTTTCTCAAAATTAACTGTTTCAAAGTTTTTCGCGAAACCCTGAAAATCAGTGTTGAAGCAGAGATACGGGGTTCATCTTGTGGGGATACTGTTTGTTGAACATTCCTGAGCATACCTTCGATAGTCTAGAGACAGGGCGTCAAAAGTGAATGTTGTTTAAACATCTAACGTCATAAATAGTGAAGGTTGTCCAAAGTAGATCAGAGATGAGAAAATGACATAAAACGGATATAAAAAGCAAAAGAAACGGCTGAAAACCGGATAAAAACGCTGCAAAAAGGTTCGAAATCTTTCAATTGGCGGCTTTTCTAGGTGCAAGTTTTTGCTCCAGGACCAGCAAATCGCAACACGGGGTCTTGATTTTTGATGCGTCCTTTAAATTTTTACCCCGCGTTGACGTTCCTGTTTCCTGGGACGTTGTCTGGATTGTTGCGCTTATTGTTCTGAGCAACAATCGCCCAAGCTGGAAAAAAATCGCTGCGAAAGCACTGAAACAAAACAAGTTAAAGAAAAACGCACTTTTTACTATTTTTCGCAAAAAATTCTACCATAATCGAAGAAGTAAGGGCTGGGTGGTTGTCTGCATTATGAGCAGAAGCAAGATCTATACAATGCACGAAAAAACCGTGTGAAAAGAGTTAAACTAGAACAAAAACAAGAGATTTTCAAAAACAAGGTTTTTGCCGGATTTCTCGATTAAATCAAAGAATGTGGTTCTGAGACGTTGTCAGCCTGAAAATAGAGATCAAGAGCTTCAAAATGATATATAGCTTGCGAAAATTGGATTCGAAATAGCGGAGAAAAGGGTACCAGAGCCAAATGCCCCGCGCCCCGCGTTTGAGGTAGCGAGGTAGCGCGCAGCGCGCGGAGACGCAGACGAGCAGCGGAGACAGACCAGAGCCGACGGAGCATTTGGCTCTGGTCGTAGATTTCCGCGGGGTCACAACGAAACCCTGCAACATTATATATCATTCTGATCGTCATGACACGGCGAGGAGAACTGACAACGTCCCAAGCTTTGAAAGCCACTCATTAGCGAGATAAACCAGCGTTCTCATGCGCGACCCTCTGCGAAAGATTTAAGGGCAGTTTCTCTTTTAGTATAATTCCAACAGCTTTCCTAAACTTCTGATACTCAATTTTGGTCAAATGAGAGGTTAACAGAGAAATTTCGTCTTGAATTCTGGCGAAAATTCCACAGAAACCTTCCTTTCAACGTAAAAAAGGCTATAAAACGCAAATTCTCGGTTTCGCTGAGATTAACTAACGATATTATTCTTATACTTGCTTTATAGCATTCGTTCCGAAATTCAGAATGATAAAATCCGGGGCTTCGCCCCGGATGACTTCTGTTTTTACCCAGGTGAAGGTTGTGTCCCCTCATAGCCAAAGTGAAGGTTGCCAGAGTACGTGGCTCTATGTATCGAGGGTATGTTCCTGAGCTTTGATGAGTAATCAAAATTAATAATTTTTGACTGAAAGAGGACTAATTTTCGAATGCTTTTGCAAGTCAATGACCGTCGCAGTTCTGATGGGTCCAAATTAAAAATAGATCTGAAGTTCCTATAAGCACAGTTTTTCGATACATCTCAAGACAATGTAATGGGTCCAATGAAGTGTTACTGCTCGGTGGGCCCTGCGTATGCGCGAGTGCCCTGCTCCGCTAACCCTACATCCTAGGATACTACGCGTCCGATACCGAGGTGCACTTCGACGCATCCACTCGACGTGGGCACCCCAACAAACTAAACCATGTACAAGCGCGACTAACTGTTGAATTTATTTATACCAAACAACAATGCAGTATACACAACAAAAGTATGCAGTATACACAACAAAAAACTACCAAACTATAAGGTCTCTAAATAGGATGACTGAAGATGATAATCACGGGACGAACCGCGTGATCATGGCCGCCACTACAGGCTCAATTAACGCAAAAGGAAGTCCAGGTTCCAGCAGCATCTGCCGCTAGAAGATCTGATCCAAAAAAAACGGCGCGACCCCAACTTCACTACCGCATCTTGTTCATCTATTAATACAATAACCCTATCGTTCTCGCACTACTGCGCGTCCATCATATAATACAAAACATCTGCAAGCTCGACCGCTCGACTTAAAATCCTTTAATGCGGAAGCTGCTGGGGGCCAAGTATGACAAGAAACAATCAACAACGTGCGAAGTCAAAGAAGCAATAGCTGCTCTCGCGCGCAGCCTTATATTAGGTTGTCCCTAAAGTTTTGTCGGTTTTTTCATCGCTCACTCAAACCCAAAGAACACCAATTCATAGACGATCCAGGTATCATTTAATTCAAATTTTCATGCTCTTTCTTACTGCTATATTTGCTCTCTGATCTACCCTGTCTTTGCAATATTATCGCCATGGCTTTTTTAAGCGGTTCAGCACTAACGCAAATCTTTCCTGAATTTTAAAAATTTTTATACTGATGTTTCCGAAGAGCGCTAGTACATGTTACGTAGAACAAATGGCTACATTGTGTTTACTTTAGATTACACGGGTCACGTTTATCAAGTCCGTTATAATTATTTACTTAAGAAAAACCGCGGTTTTTTTATTACGTCTATCTCGTAAATTTACCGAAAATTCCCAAAGCTGATTTTTCAAAACAAATTAAACTTGGTTATGTTGCATAATTATTGTTTATTAGCAATCAAGTTTCAATTCGCAGAAATTTGAAGAGCTTTCATGTTTTTGCTGCAGTTGCGTGTTTCATGACTTTGCCAAAAATCGAGACCTCCGAAGAAATAATTTTTTGAAGCTAAAAACAGCATTTTAGTAGAATCTAAAAACATTGCCTTGTAGTCCGGTAATTGTTCTATTTGTGCCATACTTAACCACCTCCGGAACATTGGAATGAAATTTTTAAAAATTAGCCTAACTTTGGGCACATAAAAATGACGGGTGAAGAATTTTAAGAAATATTTAAAAAAGCATACGGGATTATTGCTAGGTAATGTAACCGTAAGAAAGAGAAGGAAAAGCTGCATGTTGAAACTCATTCAGATCTTAATTGTGCATAGTTTTATAGCGGTTTGAAAAAACCGACAAAACTTTCGGGGCAAACTAATATACAAAACTTTCGGGACGCCACTTGGGTTTCCAGCCGGGGTGGTCCTGCGGCATTACAAAAAGCACGACTGATAAACGCGGCATACACCGCACCGCGTACCTGTTCCGGAGAGCTGCTCTGCATCGCGGAGCCGCGACATTAAGTGCCCTTTTGGAGTTCGCAAATTTCGCAAATTTTTCGATTTTTATGGTTGGATCAGTCAAAAAATAACAGAAGTTCGAAACGGCAGGTTACAATTTTTATTGTTGTTCGCTATATAGCAAAGACCTGTCTTTATACAAATTATTCATCTGTTGGCACTCCGACATAGAGGGTCTAAACCATTCTTCTGAGTCATTCAAGGCATTATCACCCAAAACTATACAATTAGACAATCAGTCATAACAATGAAATTAATTGATTAGAACTTTGGCCTTAAAGATGGATGCAGAAGTTGTATAAAAGATTTGCCGATGTATTTTTGCCGCTTTCAGATAGTGCTAATAAGATGTTGGCCATTTTCGAACGGTTTGCTTCGGCCAGAAGGGGAATGTGAAATAGAAGGTACAACCACTCTACATTTAGGAGTAATCTTGCTGTTCTTACAATCCCTTTTTCCCATAAGTACCTTCTGCGAAAGGAGAGAAATAGGCGAAGAGCTCTTTTTAGTGGTGCACAAGATGTTGAGCAAATTTTGTAAAAAAGGATTTGGACAGAAAGAATTGCCCTCGCTAATCTCGTCATTTTACGGAAACCTCAAACGTGAGAGCTTTCAACCTATGTGCAGCAAATTCTAGGTTGTTGTTTTCTGTAAAGAATTAGTGATCCATTTGTGGTCTGACTGATCTACAAGTTTTAAAGTGATCAACAAAGAAGGAAGTTTTCAATTTATTAGTGACTAGCTGGCTTACCCGGCTTCGCCATATGTAATAGAAAATTCCATTTCTTAACCGATCCGGACCAAACTTGGCACACATACACTTCGGGCCTCGGCGGGTGTCACAGTCCACTTTTCGTTATCGATCGATGTCGATTTTATCAATTTTTTGCAAAATTTGAGCTAGGGGGCTGGAATTTGGCAAGGGGGTGTAATCGAGCATGCTGATCACCCCCACGGGGGTGATCAGCATGCTCGATTACCCCCCTGTGCCAACTCCCAGCCCTGTAGCTCAAATTTTGCAAAAAATCGATAAAATCAATATCGATCGATGACGAAAAGTAGCCTATGACACCCGCCGGGGCCCGAAGTGTATGTGTGCCAAGTTTGGTCCCGATCGGTTCAGAAATGGAATTTTCTATTTGGAACATACGTACAGACGGAAGGGACGCAGGAGTTCCTAGCACCTCCATTCGCACCAGCATTCACACTCCAGAAGGCTCCTCGCGCCTTCGCGCAACAGAGGTCAAACCCCGCCCTCGCTCCACTTCTTCACTGGTCTCATTCGAAGGCTGCGGGAATAGTATAGGCATGCAACGAAAATTCATGAAAAATTCTCATCTTGCCAAATCTCTTGCCTAAATCTAACTTTTGCATCGACTATATAGTAGATCAGAATCGTTTTGGCATGCTAACAGAAAATTCAAAAAAATTTCAGCGGATATTCAGGCAAAATTAATTGCAAAAGTATCAACAAATCTCTCCAGAAAAAGGTCTTTCTTATCCATCATTATCGTGAAAAGCACCAGACATGAATTCAAACAAAAAGGAAATTTCAGTACTGAAAACGCATTCAAATTCTATGAAAAAGCTGTTGAAAATGACGGGAAGCTCAAATTATTCGGTTAGTAAGTCAAGATCTTGCTCTAAAACTGGTCTTAACCGCAATAAGTCAAATTTCGCTTATTCTAGCTAGATTCTATGGCTTTGATTCGATAGAGCACAGCAAGCTCTACAAGGTAGTGTTTTGAAAAGTTGCATCAAATTTGATCTACGCGAAGTTGTAGCCAATAGCTAGAAAAATCTAACTGTCCGAAAAATGTGAAAAAAGTAGAAACTTCACCAAAAAAAATTGCAGTCGTGCAACTTGCTCAATGAATATTTCTTCACATGAGACGTACATATATACACTTTCTCTGGCTGAAAATCGAGAAAAGGGAAGTATCTTTGCTTCTGACAAAGCGATGCCCACACAAGACTTCATAACTTCTCATCTGTCACATTCCATCCGTTTTACTCATCCATTTAACAGAACAAATTGGTGACTATTCTCCGAGCCTGCACAACTCGGAATAAGATTAGCTAGTGGGCGGAGCAAGTGGGCGTAACCATCTAAAAGGTGCGAAGACCCGTTGAAGGTGCTAAGTACCCTTGCAAGGGAAGGCGGCGAGGCTTTGGGAACTCCTGGGCCGCCGCCCGTACAGACATACAGACAGACAGACAGACAGACATACAGACAGACAGACAAACAGACATTCAGCTTTATATATAAGATGACACAGCTTCTGTGAAATTCCAAAAGGAAAAGTACGCCAAGTTAATTCAGATATCATCTGATATTTGAGATAGGAGGACGTGCGTTATACTACAAAGACCTCGCCGCCAAAGCTCGCCGCCATAGTCAGCACGCGCGCCGAGCTGGCTTACTGTATCCCGCACCCATTTTGCACCGGTGAGCGTGACCCACGAGGCAACCGCGAGAGCGCAGCCCCGTCAGCTTTGTCGCTTACAAGAAGTTACATGAAAATACTCAGAAAAAATTTTTTCTCAGATTTTAACGTGCGATATTGTCCGTCGCACCGCATAAAGTGAAAATTTCAGAAAAACTTGTTAATTTCCTGTTTTTTATTTGATTCATGTTCGTTTCTATTTCCCTCGTTTGGAAACTCCCTAGTGTTTCTTCAGTTTTCTTTCTTCGTTTCATATTGGTTTTTGCCATGGTATAGTTAGTTAATTGTTACTGCAAGCTGTGACCCGTGGCCTAGATTGCAAGTTGAGGTTAGTAACACGGCGATGATGACCTGCGGACTTAACTTATTAGGACAAAAAAGATAGCTGATGCCAGATTTTCATTCCTTTGATTTTATTTGAAATTAATGAATCAAATAAAAAACAGGAAATTAACAAGTTTTTCTGAAGTTTTCACTTTATGCGGTGCGACGGACAATATCGCACGTTAAAATCTGAGAAAAATTTTTTTCTGAGTATTTTCATGTAACTTCTTGTAAAATTCGCGACATCGCGGCGCGACCTCGCAACGCGACAAAGCTGACGAGGCTGTGCTCTCGCGGTTGCCCCATGGCTCACGCTCACCGGTGCAAAATGGGTGCGGGATACAGTAAGCCAGCTCGGCGCGCGTGCCGACTATGGCGGCGAGCTTTGGCGGCGAGGTCTTTGTAGTATAACGCCACGCCGCCTCGAGATAGACGGGTTCAGGAAAGATTTTATGGGTTTGTTTTTGACTTCTTTCCAACTGATCAGATTCAAAGCCCCAAAACCATGAGATTTTGTTCGAGTTTTTTTTTTGAATTTGGTATCAGCAAAGAGTGCTTGCACTGTGGAATGCGCGATCAACTCCATGGCCCTTAGTAAACCCCATTCAGCTTAACTCGGCTGGAACGAGCCCAACTAATTGTAAGTTGAGAATCGCGTTTAAGACGTGAAGGTCTTGTGTGTTCTCAAAAAGAAAGTATTGATAATGAGTAGGCTTGGTCGGACGGCGATGTGATTAGAATTCAAAGTGCAGGTTTGAGGACGACTAGTGGACAAAGGCACACCGGGCAATCTTTGATGGCCACTATCTAACGACGATGACCGCTGAAAAGGATATCGACTAGCAAATAGATGGATAAAACAAAACTATGCTATTCTAAGGAAGACTTTATAGAAAATTGAAATTGTCAGAAAATAAACAGCATGAAAATTGATAGATTCTTGTTTGATGCAAACCTAAGCGAACCTACAAAAAAGAAAAAACTTGTTACCTTCTTTTCGTCTCTGTAAGCTGTTAATCCATCTTCGCCTACTTGGACTCCGAAATGGTGGTTGCGCAGCTCTGTAGGTTTTGCACCGCAACATACGTCAACTAAGTTGTCCCATAAGTTACTCACGAGCAACTTACGGGAGTTTTCTCTAATTCTCCTCTTTTGCACACTATCCCCCTCGGTTCATCTTTAGATCTACCTTCACCGTAGTGGCATTCTGTTGAACTAACCTTAATCCTTAAGCGGACTTCTGACGGTTTGACCTAAGATTCTAATAGGCATCCCAGGTCAACTGAAATGAATCGGGGTTCACTACAGGCATGACCTAATTTGCTTTTGCGCTTTTTGTTAATTTTTGGGTGTGCGTAATTGTTAAGATGTATTGAATATAGCAAATCGAAGTAGCTCTAGACAAAACTTTTATTTTGGTTACACAACATCAAACGCAGAGTCCCACCTCAGCTTCACAAGTGGTTCCAGAGCCACACTCAGTGCAGCTGCGGCCAGGTTGATACACACTCTTACCAACGATATTTCCTCTGTAATCAGAATCGATTATTGGAAAACTGGCTTATACCTCATACCTTGGCGAATAGTTGCAAACACACACGTACGACGATTGACAATCAGCAACAGAACATCCCAGATACTTTGTGGTTGCCCATGCCATCTAAGCGAACTGTTGAAAAGAGAGATTCTGATTTGACTTTCGTTTCATCTCGTACTTTTTAATGCCTTGTAGTGTTGTATGTGGTCTAAGTTTCAGAAGTTATGAAGTCTACGAGTGCAGGAAAGCTGTGTGTTTTTAATGCGACTTGAAAAATCTCTTCGTCATTTCGCTGTGAGTTTCGCTGTGTTTCTGATTAGTTGATTGATCGCATAAGTCATCCATGCTAACTCCTCGAAAGGCATGGCAGATGTAATGGCAAAAATCTGCTGTTCATTTTCAACTTTATATTATCTATGGGTCACCTTTCAAGCATTTCTAATGCCCAAAGGTACCTGAGTAAACGACTCTATGGGAGTATGAAGATAGCTCTTCTGGAATAATACGGACGGGCCAGGATGTGTTGTTTCACCTGCTCTCCACCATGAATCTACACCCTGTAAAAAACGAAAAAAAATCACAATTGCATGCACCTGAGCGTACCGTGACAACAGCATCAACTAGACTTGCATTCTCAACTTTCGACACTCGGTAATAGTTTTTACCAAGATGCACCTTCCCAGGCTTCTGTGACTTCGTCAAGGGACAGCGTTTTGCATATTTTACTGCCAGCTCTTCCAAACCGCAATCATACACCTAAAATAAATTTGCAGTTTATATGGGCATAGCAAAACACTTACCAATCTCATCATATTTTTGGCTTGTGGTAAAAGTTCTCCCTCTCTTTTCACTTTTCCCATTGATAGTACCAACCTAAAATTCTATCAAAGTGAGTATAGAGACATCTCTAAAGCACTCTGAGATCCTATAAAATGCATCTGACCTTCGGTAATTATGCATATCCAAAAACAGCAGTCTGAGAGTGTCCGTCATTTCCTTGTTGTTGGGACAAATTTGAGAGTCTAAAGTTTACTATCAGTAACGCTATCATGCAACTCTCATGTATCAAGTGATTATATAGTGTTCATGCCTCTTCGAGTCAGAAAGATCCGCTCTGAATAGTTCAGAAAAATAGCGGACCAGATCTTGTCATTTTATACTTATGCATTGGAGTGATTCAAAAAAGGCACATTTTAATTTTTCAAACATTTTTTGAGGACTGTTCTTCAATAACTGTGAACAACCAACAATTTAGACGCCCCCTTGTACAAAGTGACATTTGCAGATTATCCCGACAACACTTTGCAGCACCTCACCCACATTCTCTCGAGCGGCGCTCCAAAGAAGTCAAGCAGCCTTTTTTTAACGCTTCAGAATTTGCCTGCTACCACTATATTTGTAATGAACGGAAATTTTCATCGAATGAACGAATATTGAATAATTTTGCGAAAATTTTGAACGAACGAATCTATCGAATAACTGAATTTTGAAATTTTTTCGAAAGAACGAATATTATTCGATTTTTGATTTTTATATTGTTCGAATTCGAATATTCGAATACGGGCAACTTGATCGAATATTCGACTATTCGAATAGACTAATAGCAAATTATTATCGATTATGCAATACAACTACTTAAAAGCAATAATAATATTCGAGTATTCAAACAACTGTTATCCGAAACTTCCCGAATATTCTGATACTCGAATAACTGTCCTTCGGAGTACCTCGATTTTCGAATAGTCGAATAAGTCATTTTTCGAATCGTCGAATGAACGAATCTTTCGAGTAACCTTTTTCATTTATTAGACTACTCGAATAATCGAATGATTGGACTTCTTCAATAAGTCCACTAATCGAATATTAAGTAATCGAAGATTCCGAATAAATTATTCGAATACAAATATTCGGTTCCAAATATGCTGTACCCCATGGTCACTAGCAGGGCTCGGCATAGGTGCCTTATAAGCAAGCTGGGTATCGCTTTTAAGGCAAAAAGCAAAGGGAGTTTTGTTTTTGTGGCCGAAGACACATGCAAATTTGGTTTTTTCTTAGTCGATGTTTCGTTTTTTGGAGATTTTTTTGCGTTTTCAGAGGAAATATGGTTGAGGGTCAAAGGGGACTTCGTAAAAACTCTTAAAGTAGGGACTTCGTTTTTTTGCATTTTCATCTAGCCACCTCGTGCCGAGCCCGTTACTCGGGAAGTCTGTACACAACCTGTCAAATCAAACTGGTAGTTTGCTACGCAGCAGTTGATTGGTTCCCTTACCGGCGCGTGTTTCCTTGGATGCTAAAAGGATACTAGACGGGCTTGAGGACTGATTAAGTATGCATTTGTTTTCACCAGCCGTCATTATCGTAATGCAATAGTCAAATCAGAATTTGCTTGCTTTAATTTTCGAAGAAATTCTGATTCCTCTCGCAAACTGAAGTGTACTCCGCACGCAAGCATGACTTTGAGAATTTATATAATATCTTTTTGATAACCTCTTTCCTTGATTCTTAACTGTGAATAGAGCAAGTCTTCGCCTCTAACCAGTTAAGTACGGAAATTTGAGAACTAATTCGAAGAAGATTTTTGATTTTCAAAAACAACATGGTTGAGAGGCAGCATACCAAAAAAATTAATGCAAGCTTGGCCATGCTGAGTGCGCCATAGGATTAGATAGTACCTTTTTGATCGAATTTAAAACCGCCTTAACACTGCTAAGGTAATCTCTAACACTTCTAACTATTCGGTCGTAATAGATACTCTTCCACATCTCTCAAAAATAAAGAATTGTTTCTTACCTGAAAAGTTTTGGTCTAGGCCTCATAATCAATCTTGAACATAAATAATAATAAAATAAGCATAATCATTGCTCCACGCAGGTATCTTTCGCAACTACTTTTCTTAGTTTGTGAAGGGACAAACTCTGCAAATGCAACTAGGCCTATGTGAGGGCGCAAATTGTGCTCTACAACATCAGCTTGGAAGAGTCTAGAAAGGCTTTGAGTTCATTAGTTGCAGAGCAAATTAGGAGGGTATAAAAATTCCGTGTTTGCTTTTTTGAAAATGCTGGTCTGATTCTTTTACTCCTCCGTTTTCGAGAAGAGGTCTTTTTGAATTTTAGAGAATGCATTTTGTAGAGATTGATTAGTGCCCTTTAAGACATAAGTTTGAGCTTGTATTTCTCAGTGGTTTCTTCGTAGCACTGTTTATAGAGTTGCCGCCGGTAATTTTGGCGCAACCTGTAGGCAAGACCGACTTACCTGGAATTTGGAAAGTTTGCTTTTGTATATTTCCAGCTGTTGCCTCCCGCTTAGCCCTTGCTTGGTTCCTCGCCGGACGGCATGTGGTGGTTACGACACATTTAGGCGTTGTGGTCACAACACATTTGGAAGTTGTTGTGTAAGACATTGTGGTGATCTTTTTTGTCGTAGTCGATATTTGCATAGTGGTCGTGGTTGGAAACAATGTTTGCATACTGGTCGTGGTTGCCATTGGTGTAGAAGTTGTCGTAGTAGTTGTTGTTGTAGTTGCTATTGAAGATTCCGCTACTGTGTAAATGACATCTCCAGGCTGTGGCACCCTGAAAGTCCTTGGATAAGCAGGACCCGGCACAGGTGCTTACGGGGCAGGCTGGGGGTAAAAAGTAAAAGGAATGTCGTTTTTGCGGGGTTTTGGGTTAAGCCTCAAGAAAATGTATGAGCCAGCTTGGTATAGTGTACGTAAAAAACTGCCATTTGGTTTGAGTAAAAGCAGAAATTCAGAGGTGGTTTCCTTTTGGAAAACCTGAGCAAAGCAGTCAATGTTTTTTTATGAGATCAACAGAGTGAAAAAGCTTCGAAGAGTTGGTCATCTCCAAGCTTCTCAAAACAAGAAACCTATGCAACCCTGTCATCTACAACCAGAAATTACCCCATTTATCATTGTTACTTCAGTCGTTCACATATATGCGCCCAACTTTCTTTCAACTTTCACATTTATCCACCCCCTCTTTGATACCATTTGTACCTTCTGGAGGCATCGCAAATGCTCTACGGTTCCATTCTCTGCAAAACAAATCCTTTTCCGCTCCAACATGTCCTGCAGGCGCGGAAATTTGAAAATGTGTCCCGAATCATGTGAGGGATTGTTTGGGACGAAAAAGGAACGATAAGTCTTCTTCTACATAGTTCCTTATTGCGCATTCAAATACAAATATAATGTTTATGACCTAAGGCGTACTCCCGCGACTCCGTCAAATCGCTACATCCGCGCGACTTGTCGTCTTGCCAGATGTCCACAAATCGACCGTGCGCAAGTGTCAAATGTATAGGCGTGTAATTTCTGTTCTCGTTCTCGCAAAACTATTGAGTCTGGCCCAAGCAAAGTGCGCACGAAAAATTATAAAGAGTCGCTGCAGCGCTATATCGCGCAGCGACTGGAATTGCGTGAGGTATGCGTTAGGCCTAAATCCGCAATGGAGAGTTGAACTATGTAGAAGAGTCTCAAAAAAGTTGGGAACTGAAGGTGTGATGGTTAAGTTAGGAAGAGCCTGAAGTGGCTGACAGAAAACAAACTTGTGCATTTCCATATTTCCAAACACTTTTTCACACTTTCCATATAATCTTAAAGGCAGTGGCTCAGTAAATCCTCAAACTTTGAGTTTTTCGCTTACCTGGGATAATGCGACGCGCCGATTCCGGAAATCCACTACTTATAGCGCGGTGGCGCGGGAACCGGGAATGGCGAAAACCAGCATTTTCCTAACCCATCATTTGATTTGGACGAGTGGAACGCTCCATGTCATGGTTAGAGACGCAGAATCGTCGAAGGACCCTCATGTTTATAGCATTGCACATGCCGCCTCTGACAGCGTAAGGGATATGGGAGCTTGTCCGAGCGCGCGTAAGAATGACTTGCGCGCACGGGTTTATGGGCAATTTTCTAGGCAAAGATTGCATGCTGTGCGCTCGAACCTGCTCCATTCTCGTGTTTGGGGTGCAAGCAACTTTCCATATAAAAAATTCCGAGATGTTTGATTTTGCCTTTAATCTATAGCCAAAACTCTACAGATCAGTCATAGACAAACGCCCCCTTCCGCATAGTTCTAGCCTCCAAAAATTTTGAATGGCGGCAATCCTGCTCGTAAGCGCGCGATAGTGCGCTCATGACGCAGTATGCCGCCATTTCGAAAAATCCGTACATCGTTAGTTTTTATCTTATTATCTCAGCCTAAAATTTTTTGCATTCTTTCTGACTATTTTATTATTTCTGTTTCACTTATTCATGAGCGTGTCGTAGAAACGTCGTATTTCTGTTATGAAGTCAACGGAGTTTTCGTTTCCAAAATTGCCAGAGCCATCTGGTGCCGAGCCTCGTCTACAAGTATACTATGCAGTCCATTACCACCATTCTATGCAGATCGTTTTTTTTTTGTTAAGATAATTTCAAACAAAAAAGATACAAAAAGTTTGAATGCAAAAGCACGAAAATTTGTAAGTGCAACTCAAAGAGTTTTTAAAGGGTAATTTTCGGTGCACTTAAGAAAGGATCTTTAAAAAAGCTGTAATTTTCAATAGTGAATCATTAAAGCACTTTTAGATATTAGATTGTTCACAAAGCTTTGCCAATTCTTTCTTATAACATAAAGGCAGCGTCCGGACAAAATTTCGAGCAAAATTTTTTCTGCTTACCTAGGCTTACTTCCAGCTGAATCCGAAAATGCAGCTTGCAGAGTACGAAAATGTCGAAAACTGGCTATTTGGAAGCCCCTATTTTTGTATTCAGGCGCTTGCCGCCGAGGTTTAGACGCAGAGTCGTGGTAGGAGCCTACGCCTTGACTGTGTGCGACATAGGCACTCTGGCAGTCGATTGAGGGGCGGGCAGGTCGCCAGGGCGTCTAAGTCGCCACTTCTGAAGCGGATTTCTCGCTTCAGAACCAAAAATGAATGATTTTATTGTAGCCGCGCTTTTGAATTTTTGCGTCGAAAAACTCTCATGACTCCTCTGCCACAAGCGCTTTGCAGATAAGGAAAGCAGGTTTAGAATCAAAGTTGCATCTTTTATGAAACTGTATACATCCCATATAGAAACGCCACTTCGACCAAGTATCCTCCTCTTGTGAGATGTTTCTACACTCGCATTGTCCTAGTCATTCGTCGCGGGCTTTGTTTTTGTCTATTCAACGTACTTTATCTCAACTATGTATTATAATGTTAATCAGCATGATCACTAACTTTGTACATCAACATGCAACACTCAAGATTCATGTTCAAAAAATTACTTAGCTAACATGCCTTATAATAAGCCGCTTGACCTGTAGCTGTGTGCAATTTGTCCGTTACGAAAATGTTAGGTTGTCCCAAAAGTATACTCCATTTTCAAATAGTTTGAGCTGTTTTTGTTTCCCTAATAGATTTAAGGTATTATTCGATAGAGCAGAGCACGCGCTACAAAAAGACCACCAAAGACCCACTTAAGTCGCACCCCAGGTAAAATTAGGGGCCAAAATTCGAATTCTGCCCCAAAAATCGGATCTCCTTTCAGAAAATTTCTATGGACTCCCAACTTGGTCTTTATATAGCAGACACATAGTAGTACCCAAAAATGTACTTGGCAGATTTTTTTCGGGGCTCAAACTTGAGGAAAAAAGATGGTCCGAAAATGCCTAAATGCCACTTTTTTCGGTTTTTTTTAAATGTAAAACTTAGCATTTCTCGATTATAAGAGCACATACAGGAGGTTCTGAATTATACCTAGTAAGGCTTGTAGCATACAACGACGTATGTGGGAGGGGCTGGGGGCGGAGTTTGCCATTTTTGGACAATTTTTGTTTCTCGCTTTCTATGCTCGGAAAAAATTCGGTAAAGGCATATTTGAGTACTACTATGTGCCTACAGTATAATGACCAAGTAGGAAGTGTGTAGGATTCTTTGTCGCAGAACTTTCAATTTCAATTTCTAAGTGACAAAATTTTTTTCGATTTTGGCTTCAAGCTTTCCGTGGAACGCGACTTCGGCGGATCATTGGTGACCATTTAGTAGAGCCTGATCTGTTTCGAATGATACCCTAAGTTGAGTGGAAAAAAGGAAAACAGCTTGAGTTATTTGCAAAAGCAGTTTACTTTTGGGACAAGCTAATACAGTGAGGAATGATTCACTATACTTCAAAGCATGGGGAGTCGTATAACATGCGAAGTTCATTTTTGTTCGGCATTTTCTCGTGGTCACTAAACTTGAAGAATGATCGAAAAGACAGCATCACTACTAAGCTTTCGTGATCGTTTCATATAGACTAGTGCGAGCCCCTGCGAAGCAGAGGTAACGTACCGGTAGTTGCATATAATGTTACGCTTTCTCGGCTTGAGGGTGGGGTAGAAACACGTAGTAAACCCCATTCATCTCAAGTGACCTGAGATTAGTCGTTCAAAAGAACTTTCTCGGGTAAACCTAATCCCGCTCACCTTTCCGTGCTTTAGGGTAGTCAGTTTAACGGTCAGAAGACTGTCCGGTCAAGTGTCACGGTCAGTTCACCAGAATGCCACTTATCCGAGGTCGAATTATAGGGTGCCGAGAGAGGTAGTGTGCATAAGAGGAGAATTAGAGAAATTTCCCGTAAGTTGCTCGTGAGTAACTAAGGGAAAATTCAGTTGATGTATTCTTGCTAAAACTCCCAAAACTGCACGATTTCGGAGGCTAAGTGGGAGAGGATCGATGAACAGCTGATTGCGGCGAGGAAAGCAAGAAAGATGGTTCTTTTTTTCTTGTACGGTTGGCTTAGTTTTTTCTTGAAAATCTGCATTGAAGAAGGATTTATTTATTTATTTCTTCTTGTTTATGCTCCAAAAATTTCAATTTCTTGTGGAGTTTCAAAATATGTTAGTTTCGTTTTATATGTCCATTTGCAGGCGAAATCGTTGACAGCGCTCACCATCGATTTTTTCGCTAGTGGGCGCTATCAAAGATTGCTCGGCAATGCCACAAGCTAGCCGGCCCTGAACTATGGCCTTGCGTGTTGAATCCCAATCACACAGCCGTTCGCTCAAACCTGCTCAAGGTGTTTCGTTTCGTAGAACGCCCAAGACTTTCATGTCTGAAAAGCGATCCGCATCCAGATCAATCGCTCGATGGACAGTGCGTTGGGGCGCACTACGTTCAACGTAGCCCACCTCCCGCCGAGTTGCGCTGAACAGGGGTTTACTACGGGCCATTCTTTTCCACCTTTCGACTGAGTGGTGTCTTTGCGCGAAGGAGGAGGTGATCGGACCCATTGCAGAAGGATGGAACTACTGAAAAGTCGAGCAAGCTCTACCTTCGGTTGGTGAGGATGTGGTCGATCTCCGTGAGTCGTTCCGTTTCCATGTCCACCGGCGATGCTCTTTCTCCATAAAGATGGAATTTGCATGGAAAAGTAGTGCGGCGGAGAGAAGCAACGAGACGGTTGCTGTTTTCATTTCAGAGCCAATATCTAAACTCCCCGACCATACATTCCTCTTCTAGTGGCATCCCGATTT